CATCAGGTGCCTTAGAGATGCTTAGGCAATGAAGGAGCTCTCTTCTGAAACATGTTCTCAGGGTCTTTGGATTGCACCTCACATTGCCCTGAGCTAGCAAAGCCAAGTGAAGTCCAGAACATCTGGAGGACCTTTTATGTCTCAGTCCTGGGCCAACAGAAGGGACAAATCCAACATAGCTTTGCCATAGTGAGACCTCCTGTCATTGCTCATCATCCTTCCCAGTAAAGTGGCAGCTGGTGGACCCACACCTATGGCGGCATCTGTGCATCCTGCTCAGAAGCTCAGCCACCAGCCTTCAGAAGGCTCACCTGCACATGGCAGCTGATAGTGGGAAGCTGCCCGCCCCTTTACATGTCCCTAAATGCCCCAAATCAGCTCTGTGCTGGCTGTTTCAAGGCACTGTGGGAAGCTTACAAGGCAGGGCAGCCCCATTTTAGAGTGACCAGCTGGGAAGAAGCAAAAGCTTCCTGAACTTCTAACAGTTGTACTGAAGACAGCATTTCTTACGTTTATGGCCCGTTTCTTTAGCACTTGCACTATTAGAAGTGAAAAGGAATTTCTGCTTTTACACCTCCTTCTGTCTCTCTTCTTGACTGTAAAAGGACAGGGCACCTTGACCCAATGGACAGGGCACCCTGTAGGACTGCTGTTTGGGTTGCTGCTGGGAGGTGGGCTTGGATTGTGCAGGCTGGAAGATTAGCACTATCTTCCTGATCTGGATAATCAGGTGATGCTGAAGGGCCAGTCAGGTACTACCAAGAGATGCAGAAGCTAGCAGGAACAACAGGGCCCATTTACAGCCCTGCCTACTACCCAATGCCCAAAACCTGAGCAAGTGGTCTCAACCCAACACGTGAAAGCTAATCTCCTATGCTTCATTTGGGATTGTTTCATCACAGGGTTTTCAAGGAGAAAAACGCTCAGAAGTGGCTCACTATTCCATGTTTATGCCTAGCTATAAGCAGACTTAGCTTGAGCATCACTGCCATTGCCTGCAAAAGTGTCAGTCCCCCATAGCTGCCCTTCAGGAGTTTCTCTGGTCCATCATCACCAGATATCTCCATTCTCCTCCAGTGCGACTGTTACTCCTGAAGAGGGTGGGTGCCTCTTAGTCTGGTGCCTCAGCCTGGGCCGTTCTGCCTTGAGCAACCCTGCTAGGAGACCAGCCTAGGGGGATGGTCCAGCCTCCCGGCTCCATCAACACAAATGGAGACTGAAGTTGCATCTGGCTCTTAGAGGAAAGGGGCTTAACCTTGCTGAATAAAAGGAACTACATGGGCGAGGAGCAGCCCTTCTGACAATGAGAGCCAAGTTTTGAACTGACCAAGGGCTGAGCGGCCAGCAGCCTCAGCTCCCCTGTCTGATTTGCCTCCATCTAAGCCAAAACACAGGCAAAAGGACTCTGGTACCCCTCAATTCCTGTGCAGAAAGCAACGAAGGCTTGGGTGGACCTGCACCTCGTGTTTTCACTTGGGCGCAGGAGTGGACAGCTGAAGTATGCACAGTGGGGTGGGCAACACATGGCCAGCAGAGGTTTTGGCCTACAACTCACATCATCCCCAGCCAATGGCAAGGATTGCAGGCCAAACGTCTGGAGGGTCCCAACTTGGCCATCCCTGGTGTAAGGAGAGGACTCTGCCCAAGGCTTCCACTGCTGTTCAGGCAATACAGACTGCGGTTAATGAGCCTTCCAAATGTTTTGGACTTCTGCTCTTATTGGCCCCAGCCAACATGGCCAATGGTCAGGAATTCTGGGAGCAGCAGTTAATAGCTTCCAGAGGCTACTGGTCTGAGAAGCTTGGATTGTGCTGGCAACAGTGACAGGGGGTTATTAGATCAGGGGTCCAGGAGACCACAAGGGACAGAATGAGCCCCCTGCCAATATTTGCCTACTCCTAAACAATGGGATTGGGGCCATTCGTCCAAACAACCAAAGTCACACATACCAACGTTCATGTTTATGAGGAAGTAAATTCAGAGTCACCTGCGTTTACCTAGGTACCAAAAAAACCCAAAAAATAGAAGCGGAGCACCGTGAAGCAAAGCATAAATATTTCAACAGTTCCTCAGCTTTGTTATTCTGTTTAAAGCAAGAAACATGACAAAAGCTTTGATTGTTTTACTTAATACCAATCATAATTCAAAGAGAAACAAACCAGCATTAGTCTAGGATGCCCAACCAAAGGCCTATGTGTATGTATATGTTCTTTCCCAAACAGTGTAGAAAAAGGCTTATCTCATGATGAAAGCTTCCCTGATTCACAGTATATTAACTCTCTCCCCCCCCCACCCACCTGCCCCCTTGGTAGGAAACAATAAGACATTTCTTCATCAAAACATAAAAGAATGGATGCAGGGAAAATAGGCCTTGGAGTACTGGCTTCATTTTATGGAAATCTGCAATGGCATTGACAGCATAATCCTATGTGGTTCCACCCAAAAGTATTGAAGTAAAAAAAAATTCCTCTAGGGTGGCCAGTTACACATTCACCCATTGAAAAAGACATAAGTCACTTGCATGAAATTTTATATACTAATGGATAGGTATGAATGCAAATTTAGAAAAGATGAGTAGAATTTTTATATATTTATATATGAATGAGAGACATCCCTGTCTATAGTGAAGAAGACCAGATGAGCTGGTATACTAATTTAACTGGTGGTCCAAATGCTAACTGCTGATGGGCAACTTCCAGGGCCAGATCTTCCTTCTCAAGGTCCTTTCTCATGAATCAGGCTTGGACTGCCTTCATGACAGAGGACACCATCTGTAGATCACCCTACCTTATTCCACACAGTGTGCATACTTTAATATTGCAGCCGAAGGGTACCAACCAATATGGCTGCCAGGAAACCTACAAACTTGGAGAATCATCAACATCCATGCAAGGTCCCCAACACATTTAGAAGGCTGATTTCAGCTAAATGTGGTTGCCCTCCCCATGAAAAGGAGAACTTGAGGCACTGCCAGGTTCCTTCAGAGGTCTGTGGTGCCTTCCTCTTTCCCACACTTTAGAATGCCCCCCATGCCAGCTCTGAAGAGTCTGTGAGAAAACCCTCTGGGGCAAAGTTCCAGGTTTAACCTTGGAGTGATTTTCTAAGGTCATTGCCCCCCAGGGCAATGTCAGGAGCTTGAAGGATTGTATACTGAACCATTTTTCTCTTTTATGTTATATGTAAGACACTCCAACTGTACTCAGTGTGATGGAACACAGGAAGCTGCCTCAGAGCAGAGCAGACAATTTAGCTAGGCCCAAGCCATTTAGTGTGACTGACAGTGACTCTCCGGAGACTCCATCTTTCCCATCATCTGTTCCTTTAAACTGAGGGTGGAAACTGTAGAGCCCCCAAGCCCTCTGCATGAAAAGCAGATGCTTTGCCGGTAAGCTACTGGGGTCCTCCCTTGGAAACAACCAGCCATCTCTCTGGTAACAGGAGGTTCCACCCACCAATGTCCACCCAGCAAGCACTCATCACTGGGGTGGACCCCCAGTGTCCACTGAGCAACCCTGCAATCCAACCCTGCCATGACATTTGGGCCAGTCCAGCTACATAAGCAACCGCCCTCCACACTGAGAGTATCAACATCAATCCTTGTGCAGAAAACTGAAAGTTGACATCTGGAACCGGCTCTTAGCACCAGCGCACATCAAACACAACACAGTGCTTTCATCGCACTAGCAAAGTCACCAAACGCCACCCCTGCGCATGATATGCAACACCAAGCGCTTGCCTTCCCTCTGCGCGCGTGACGAGAGGAAGAAGGATGAAGTGTTCTCCTTCCGCACAGAGAGGAACTATGACAACTTGCGACAGGCAGGTTGCATGATGTTAGGAGGAAGCAAGAGCAGGGAGGAGAACTGGGCCTGGCTCACTCCATCCTGGCTGTATCGAAGACTCCAAGCAGGCCACCAGTTGGCATAGTGGAGCCAGGGCTTGCAGGAATGCAGCACTGGCACTTTTATTATCGGGATGCTGACATTCTCTGCCACCAACACCCTTTGGAATTCCCAGTTCCCTCTGCAATTAGATGCAACTCTCACAGTAACTGTGGGGCAGCGGGGAGAATTGCTCCAACAACAATGTATTTGTTCCTTGATGTAATACAAACTGCTTTGGGGTGGCTTGTTCATGAATGGGCAACTGAGGGTTATAGCTTTATAAGAAGGAAAAACAAAAAAGGCATGATCCTGGTGGAGGTGAACACTGCTACAGCTGGTTGGTTGATATGGCTGAACGCGGCCGCCTGAATGTTTTGCTTCTCCTTGGGAGATGTGGCTATGGGAACTGTCTCAGTGACTTCAGAATTTACCAGTAAGCCACTGTATACAGAAGCAACAATGGAAAACAGCAGTAACAGATCAAACCATGCCATAAATACAATTCTTATTTTGCAAGTCAAGACTTTAAAAGCCCCAATGGTAACACAAAGGCAACAGGGCATTCACCCAGATGCAAGCGGACACAAATCCACCCAACTCTAAAAGTGAAAATGTAATCTCAAGACCTATTTTGGTATTTTGCAGACACCGCAGGGGAAATAAGCTCTATTTAGGCATGAAACCCTTCCAAGCAGTAATGTTGGAACATAGCATTGGCCCTCCTAAATCAGGTCAAGGACCATGAAGTCTGTTTTGACAACAGCCAGCCAAGTGTCCCAGGGCAACCCTTGCAACAGCACAAAGAGAACCATATGCCCCTATTTTCCTGTCCCCAAGAACTCCCTTTCAAGAGACCTAGGAGTAACTTGAACATAGGATGTTCCGTACCACCATCATGCTTAACCGAACTCTCCTCCCTCAAGAATTTGTCTAACGCCATCTAATGCAGTGGCCATCACCACCTCAGAAAGACTCAGTGCCATCTCATCCAAGAGTCATCTTCCAGCAAAAGCCAGCAGTGGCACTTCTGGGTGCGCCCAAGCACAGCAAAGCAGTGGTGGCCCTCCTCTCCCCAGGGGACATCTCTCCCTTCTTCAAGCTCCCCTCCGCGCTCACCTCTGGCAGTGGCATCCCATTGATGATGAGATCTGGCTGTTGGGGACTCTGACTAGTGAAGGTGTGGTGGTAGACATGGTTGGAGCCTGTGTTCCTGTTGTTTTGGTTCTCCACATTGAGAAAGGTGCTTTCTGATCGGCGACAACCCAGAGGCAAAGTCTGCTGGTGATAGTCAAAGTAGTTGAGAGATGATGTCAGTGAGGAACAACTCACAACGTTCATTTTATCGGTCTCCTCAACATCACGCGGCACCAGACGGATGTCATTCTTGCTGATTTTTTTCTTCTTGTTGGATTTCTTTTGGTGCCCATAGGAGTACTCTGCAATTCTGCAGGACAGAAGAAAGCAAATTGTGAGTATCTTACTTCATCCTCAAACGGTACACTAGTCAACAGAGAATCCCAGAGGGACTGGTTCCCATCCACATGCAGGGTCACTGGGCTTGGCTCTTGTGAGGGTTCTTGGATATATTTTGCATAAGCGTAAGAAAAAAAAGTTCATCGATCAGACACATAAAGCAAACAACTGAAGAATAAGGGATGAAGGAAAAAGGTTCCCCTGCTTTTGTCTGCTTCTTAGAATTGCTGGTATCTAGTTACTAGAGATATAGTTCAGCCTGCAGAGAAGGGGAAAGAAAATAGTTATGTAAAAATCCAGGAAGTGAAAAGAATATGTGAATGCATTTTCATTAATAATAAAGACTCAAAAGGTAATTTAAACAGATTAATATAAATGCAGAAACCGGGAAAAGAATAAACACGGAACAGGATTGTTCCATGGCATTTCCCATAGCAGTAAACCCGGTTACAACCTTCTCCCTGACTTGTTTACCAGTGTTTTATCTAACTATAATGCAACAGCTTGCCTGGTCACCTCTGGTGAATTTTAAAAATGACCAGCTGAGATAAAGCTTTTTAAATTGGAACAAGAACCAATACAGAATTTCTGCAGCCAAGATATTCCTGTGAGCTTATCACAGTATTTGTCTTTGTGATTTCATTTCTCCTCATGAACATCTAACATCAAACTTTTCCTCTCAATTTTCCTGTTCTTGACATATTACCAGTCATTTAAGGCATTTTTAACAGACCCAAGCATGGTGAGTTTGGAAAGGAAAAAAAAAATCTTTTGGGCCTTCAACTGATTTACAAAACATACACCTGCTTTTGAGTCCCATGCACAAGGAAAGAAGAAGATTGAAAATGACAGGAGAAAAGTTATCGGTAAACAACGACAAGAATATAATTAAAAACATGGGCACTTTCAGCATTGTATCGGTAAATCTAGACTGAAGTAACCAAGACTCTGAATTCGCACTGGAGACTATTATTATCAGAATACAGAAATATGCATAGAGCATACCAGGCAATGCAGCCTTTCAAAGAATTGGGTATGACTTTAAGCCAGGCCTGAAAATAGTCATTTCCCAAAGTAGTGTCTACTCAACGTTAAAAATCACAGGAGCCTGGAAAATCCAGCAACGGCAGTGATAAAGCAGCGAGATGACTCATGCAGATGATCTCTGCACAATAAATAAAGATGTTACTAAAACTCTTGCTCAGAACTAATTGATACTATGGCAAGTGCGCAGGCAGCTGAGAGCTGTGGAGCCAAACGATCTCATTCCCTTTCTGACCGTCAAGTGAAAGACCACTGTTTATGAAGCATCTCTGGCAAGTTCGTGTTCATAGAGCATCACTATAATACTTGGTACTCTAAAGAGTCACACAAGCCAGAAAGGAAGAACAGGCAGGCAAATGCCTCCTGCTAAAGTATTACCATATAAATTCTAACCACGGAGAAAGGACACAGAAAAGAAGAGAAGGAACCGAGGAAACTGCATTTGTATTGAGTCACTCCAGTGGCCCGCTGCTCCAATATTATCTACTTTCTGTGATGCCCCTAGCAAAGGAGGCCCTTCCAGGCCCTGCTTCCTGTGGACCTTTTAAACTGAAGATGCTGAGGACAGGTTCTGGGGAGAGGCCTTCCCACGTCCTGCTATTGCACTCAAGACACCTCCTGGGGAAGTGGGTTCGACGGAGACAGACAAGTGTTCAGAGCAGTGTCACAATATGCAGAATATAACTATCGTTGTTAGAAAGAAGGATAGGATTCCAAAAATGTAGAGGTCTGAAGAAACAAATGCAACAAGCTGATGCACAGCCATCAGCATTGAGACAGAAGAACCAAAAACACTCCTCACCTGCCAACCCTACTCTCTCACACACAAACTTGTGTGCACACACAATCGCATGCAGATACACACACATTCCTGGCATGGAAAATCCAGCTTGCACAAAAGATGCTCCTTGCCCACTGCTCCCTAAACCTGTTCCGATGTGGCATGGATGGCATCCGTTTGCTCCCAGTTCTGATCCCATTGATATTGGTCAAGAGATGCTCTTGGCAGCATGCATTTCATGAAACGTCAGAAAATCCCAGGGCTTCTCGTACAGTCGGGTGAAGCAGAGGAAAGCAGAAGAGATCTTTAACCGACAATAGCCCACACAAAATGCATGTAGATGCCTTAGGCAGCAAATCCTACGTATGCTTACCAAGGAGTAGGTCCCAGGCAATTCAATGGGACTTACTTTTGAGCAGATACACACAGTATTGCATTGTTAAATGGTGGTGTTTTTCTAAGCATTTCCAGTTACAGATACAGCACTCCCAAACGTTGCCTACAGGCACTTATTCCACGGTCTTATTTGCGGATGTGGTTCCCCCTCCTATTGACCAATTATTTAATTAAAGCACACTTCATTAATCCCCAAGCCATCACACTAAACCAACTGGTTATACAAAGTGCAAATCTGTTAGGGGCGTTGACACAACTGGGATTTTTTTTTTCCTTCAGTGCCTTTTCTTGCTTAATGGACCGAGCTGGCAAGAAATTCGGCATATTAGCTCTCATTTAAAAACCAAACAGCTCCTAAGAATGCATGTGTAACGGTTTCATTTGCAGATGAGTTTCTCCGTACGTGTAGACAGAAATAACACTTGCAGTTGTACATTGTAAAAATGACGTGAAAGCAAGAAAGAGAAACCCTAAACTCTTCATCATCATTATACTAGTGTAAATAAAACTTTAAAGATTATAGATGATCCAGAACTCTCCAAATTGCTGGAGGCATTTGTGCATTTCAAAAGAAAGGACAAAATTAATTTCCTTCCCTTCCATCAGAAATGGCTGAGGACTGAAGGAATGGAGAAGTCACGGCTATTTCACTTGTAACAGGATTAAACCATTTATGAGCCGTTGCAGCTGCTCCTTTATGGTACCCAATTGATATTCATGTGCGGTTAGCGTTTGTCTACTAACTTGTGCAACACAGAGAATAGCAAGAGACAGACAATAATCGCCAGGCTGTTACATATTCAGGGGGCTCGAATCCACATCTTAAGATTTCAAAAGCAGGCAAAGGAGGCGGAATAACATAGCCCTACATCTCAGACATCAAAGATGTCCAAATACATAGATAACCCTATAATAAAAAGAGAGAGAGCGCTACTTCAAGTGCCAATTAAAAACAGGAAATCACTAGGGGCAACCTTAAGCAGTAAATTGGATATAAAGGGGCTTTTTTTGTTTTTTGTAGTTTTGTTTTTGCAAGCTGGAGGGTGGTTTGGCTGCTATTTTCTCCTTGCAAGACTTATGGGACAAGATTCAAATACAGGAGACAGAAATCCTTCCTCTACTACTACTACTTTTACAAAGAGAATGAGAGCAAGAGACTGAGAGAGAGGAGGGAGAGAGAGAGAATGAAAAAGTCTTTCCAACTGCTTTTTTTAAAAGATATTTTTGGTCTCCCTGGTACATTTCTAGCTGAACCCTTCTTTCTTTCACCTTCTCTTCTGCCAGCCCTACGCTCCTTTTACAACCAACCCTTCTGGAGAAGAAAACAAGCACAGTTCTAAAAAGCACCCACAGTGACCTCATCTGGTGGGGACAGGATATCAATGGGATTGCAGAGGCCGTCAATAGCGATTGCCAAGAGTATGGGTTTATCCATCACTTACAACACCTATTCTCGTACTCCCACATGGAGGTTTCTCTTCCCAACTACTCCCCATCTAAAAACACAACAAAACAAAACCAGACCTTAATTCACCACACTGCAAGCCTGAGCAGAGCTGCAGAAGAGTGTGAATTCACACCTGGATGTCAAAAGCCAGTCACAGCCTTCTCCCGTTCTATTTTTCTGGTGTTACCCTTCTTGATGGGCATTTTTAGAATAACTTTGGTACTCCTCATCCTCCACCCCACACACACACATGAGAATAACAGCATGCACACACTTTCCAGCCAAGACCAGGCTCACAGTGCAAACTTAAGACAAATGGTATCTGGTGTGTTTTAGATCATGGACAATTTGTTTCAAAGCCACCGAATTACATTCACTTAACCACAACTAGGTGAATACATTTAAAAGGTGAATGAGTTTACCACTGACATTTCAATAGGGCATTTTCTTGGAGCCATTTGATCTCTTAATCTGATTTGCCATTATTACTGCTGCTACTTTAGTAATATTAGCCTGTTATCATGAGTTGACATCAAACATTAGCGCTGTGCTAGAACCAAGAAACAAATGGACTTTACCTGCAGTTGTAGGTCCTGATTTCTTTGTTATCCCGTTTACATTTGACAGCCACAAAGATCATGGTGACGAACAGAATGGCAGCAATAGAACCCAGGGCAATAATAAAAATCAAGGACAAGTTAACAGATCCTATGGATTCCTGGGCATCCAGCGCTGGAGAAAGATAGATTAAAATCAAGGCTGAAGCCGAGAGAGATGTTTTCCCATGGTCGTGGGCCACCACAATCAGCTCATACGTAGTCTTTGAATTCTCCCCAAATGCTCTTGTGGTCCTTATCTCACCATTGACCTGGTCAATCTCAAAAAACCCTCGATCTCCTTCAGCCATCTCATAGGAAAGTCTTCCATTCTCGCCTTCATCATAATCATCCGCTTTGACCACTGTCACCAAGTAGCCGACCCCAGCATTCCTGGGTATATACACTTCTGCAGTCCCATTGACTAGAGGAGGGGCAGTTATCACAGGGGTGTTGTCATTAACATCCAGGACGATCACTCGGATGGTGGCATTGCTTTGTAAGGAGGGGTTGCCTCCATCTTTGGCCAAGACCTTGAACTCAAAAGACTTGGTCTGCTCATGGTTGAAGGATCTCAAGGCATAGATGTCTCCTGAGTTGGGATTGATGGAGACGTAGGTGAAAACAGGCATGTCCCTTACTTGGGATGGCACAATCTGATAGGAGACACTGCCGTTAAGGCCTAGGTCAGGATCCCTGGCAGAAACAGAAAGAAGGTAGGCCCCAGGGGTGTTGTTCTCCTGCACGATGACCTGGTAGTAAGGCTTTGAGAAATGGGGGTGGTTGTCATTTTCATCCGTGATCTTGACAGTGAAGGACTTGGTGGCTTGCAAAGAGGGGATCCCATTGTCCTTAGCCTGGATAGTGAGGTTGTACTGGTCCCTCTGCTCCCTGTCCAAGCGTCCGTCCACCAGGATGGTGGAGAAGCTCTCGTACTCTTGCAAGCGAAAGGGCACATTGCCCAGCAGTTTGCACTGCACCCGGCCATTTGCACCAGAGTCCCGGTCGGAAACTCTCACCAGAGCAATCACGTAGCCCGGAGGCGCGTTCTCGCTCACCTCCACTAGCTCACTGTTAACGGAGAGCAAGTTAATGAGAGGGGGGTTGTCATTGGCGTCTTGCACTGTGACTGTCACCTTGCAGTGGGCAGGAATAGAGTTGGGGCCGAGATCTTTGGCCTGCACATCCAGTTCGTAGGCATGCCCTTCCTCAAAGTCAATTGCCCCGCTGACCGTGATCAGGCCCGTCTGGGGGTTGATTTGGAAGAGGTCCCTGGCCTTTTCAGACACGTAGCTGTGGATGGAATACAACACCTGCCCGTTGGTGCCCTCGTCAGGGTCCGTGGCATTGAGGCGAATAACTGGCCTGCCCGGAGGAGCATTCTCTGGCACACTGACCGTGTAGGATGGCTCTTCAAAAAGAGGGTTGTTGTCGTTGGAGTCGATGACCCTGATGTTCAACTCGACCGTGCCAAAATTGGGTGGGTCTCCCCCATCCAAAGCTGTGATCATGTAACTGTAATGAGATTGGGTCTCACGGTCCAGGCTCTTCTCCACCACCAGCTCTGCAAAGCGGGATCCATCACCGCGGGTCTTGGTTTCCAGCCCAAAGAGGTCATTGGGTGTGATCTCATAACTCTGCACCCCAAAGTTGCCTGAGTCTGGATCGTAGGCGCTCTCCAAAGGCACCCTGGTCCCTGGGCTGGCCGTCTCAGAGATCTCCAAGGCAATTTGGTCAGTAGGGAAGCTGGGCGCATTGTCATTGAGATCTTTAATCTCCAGCTTGATGACACAGATCTCCATGGAACTGGACATGACCTCCAGCGAGATCACGCATTTGGGGCTCTGCCGACAAAGTAGGTCCCGGTCAATCTTCTGCTTAGTCACCAATAACCCCGATCCAGGGTTGATGTCTACCAGGTGTGGTGCAGAGTTGGAGACCACCCGGAAAGCAGTGGGCTGCCGGGGATCCAACACAAAGCCCGCATCTCGGGCATCTTTGGCAACGTTGGCAATCACAGTGCCAGCTCTCTGCTCCTCCTCCACTGAGTACTTCAGGTTGATGAGGGCTCCTACCCCAGTCCACAAGAGAGCGAGCAGAAACCGGAGCAAGGGGCACAGAATATCCATAGCTCACGACTCAGTGCACCCCACTGCCTCCTCCCCTTCGCTCTGGCTGCCTGTTGATTTTGCGGCTGAAAAGGAGGGGGGCGGGATCTGGGTTGACTAGTCCGGGGTTGTTTCGGGGATGGAGAGCCAGGAAGGAGCAAATCCGAGGGAAAGCGTGCTGGGGGAGGAAGGGGGCGCTCAGGGTAGCTACTTTAAGAGATAATTGCCTCCTGCTTCCTCTCCGCACATCTTTCGGCAGCACCCCTTAGGTCAGAGGCAACATCGCCACACTCCCCCTTCCCTGCAAGAAAAAAGAGAGAGAAAATCAAAATGCTTCCTTTCCCACCTGCCAGGTCAAGGACAGTTCGAAGTTACCGAAAAGGCAAGTCTATTTTCAGCTTTTAAAAAAGAAGAGAAGAAGAAATGATCACAGACACGCACATCCGAAGTGCAGTCCATGTATCGGGGAGGGGCCTCAATTTACTTGCACCTGGCATGCGCAAATCTCGCGCTCTCTCTCTCTCTCTCTCTCTCTCTCTTTCCCCCTTTCCCTCGCCATCCCCATTCTCTCCCCTCCTCAAAAAAAACTGCACAGACCTTAATGCAGAAAGGGGAGCTTCTCTGGGAAGCGGGGAGATCACCTCTTCCTGGCCAAGATATCAATACAGATTTGAAAAAAGAAAAACAAGACACACACACAAAACAAAAATGTGCAGGGAAGCAACGAGCTAGCAGAAAGTAAGGCTAAGGCACGGAAGGGAAAGGGGGAGCAAAAGCTGCGGAGGGAGGAAGGATGCTTCTCCGATCATAAGTCACGGAGAGGAAAACTGGCCGGGGAGGGGTGGGGAAGAGGGTACGGGGAGGGGAGGAAAGGAAAGGAAAGGAAAGGAAGCGCGCAGGCTGGCAAAGAAGAAAAAATCCACCTACTCGGTGGGGGCTCTACTTAGGGAAGTGCCACCGAAGCATCTCCGTGCGCTGGCGAAGAACGGAGCGAAGGGAGGTGTCATGACCAAATCGCAGGCTGAATCGGGGGACGGCATCGGCAAGGGCGGGGGAGGCACGCCGGATCACAGCCCCCGCCACCCGCCGGTGTAAACGGAGAGTTGTCGCGGCTGGTGGAGGCGATCCCTCGCTTTGTGGGGACCGGATCGCTGAAGGCTCTCGGTGGGGCGGCAGGTTGCGGGGCGCGGGGGAGAGAAAGGGGGGAAATAAATTATAGGAACGGAAAGGAGCGGAACGGAGGGGGAGGCTAAGAATCAACGGCGGCGCCGCTCCGGGGCCCCTCCTCGCCGGGTCGCCTCGCCGCCTCTCCGCTGCCTGGCCCCATGGCCGGTTATCTCGCGCCGGGCAGCCTCCGAGCCGCCGCCGCCGCCGGCCCGAGGCGACGAAGCAGAAGCGAGGAAAGTTTGGCCGCTCTCCTCATCCTCCTCCGGGCGAAACTGCGGCGGAGCAACTCTCCGGGTCTCTGCGAGGAGGCGGCGCTGGCGGCGCGGCAGAACCACCTGCAGGGAAGCGGCCGCGCCGGCCGAGCCGAGCCGAGCCGAGCCTCGTTCCGCCCGCTCTTATGGAAGTTCTCCAGAAGCCAAGCCGCGGCTCCACCAGGCGGGCTGCGGGAGCCTTTGCAGAGCCGCCAGCCAAACCGCAGTGGCTCGCCGCGCGCTCAGCCCCTCGCTCGCCTCCGCTCCCCCAAAATCGCCGTCTGCATCGCAGTTGCCCCTTCCCCTCCCGGCCGCCCGCCCGCGCGCGCGCGCTCCCTTCCTTGCTCGCTCCTTGCTCGCGCCTTGTTTTCTCCTCTTTTCGGGCAAGCGCCCGCCCGCCTGTTTTTCCTCCTTTTTCTTCCTCTCCCCCTCCCCGCGCGCGCCAGCCGCCGCCGCCGCAAACTGCCGGCCACACGCGAGCCCGGAGAGAGACCCAGCGGCTCCGGTCCCGAGCTACGGCAGGTCTCCAGCCAATCGGCGGCCGCCTCGCCGCGTTCCAAGCCGAAGGGGAGGAGCCGCCCGGGAGGCGAAAGGGGGCGGGGCCGGGCCGGGCCGAACTGTTACCAGTGTGGTACCCAAGGGAGCATCCCTTTTGTGTCTCCGCTACGCCAAGGATGCAGAGAAGCGGAGTCGCGACGGGGGAGGGGGACTCCTGAGGGGGGAGGGGCTGCGTGCCTGCCTCTTGCCCCACCCCTCGGAGCGGAGTGCTTCGGGGCAATATTCCCAGGAGGGGACCGGCCCGGTGTTCACGCCACCATGCGCAAGTTTTGCGAGAGCCCCGGACCTCTTGCACAGAGAAGCGCTACACCCAGCGGGTGCGGGGAGTTAAGGGTTGTTTTTGTTTGTTTTTAAATCCGCAGGTTTGGATAGTGTGGGTAGCGGTGTTGGTAGAGGATTTGTTTTGTCTTCTAAAGCTCTTTGCGAAATGCATTTCTTTAAATATCACAGTTTGCTTGGGGCAAAATCCTCCCAACACTTTCCCTTCCTCTAAACTGCAAGGACACGTAACTGTTTGATCAACCTCCTTCCAAGCCGAGCGCAGCCTAGGAGGCAGCAGTGAGGGAAAGAAGAGCGATCGCGGACTCAGGATGTTGCCGAAGCAAAAGTGCTTGCGCAGCGCAAGCCTATCATTTTTGTGCAGAAGGAAATCTGCCTGTGTTCAGTAGGGCTTACTCGCAGGTAAGTGGGCACAAGTTTTGCAAACTGGAATGATTCAACAAAGACGCCCCGGTTATGCTAGGATGTGACCTGCTTTCGCCATACTCATCACCCACCCTGACCCTTCTCCTGGATGTCATTCAAAGCAACCTACCCCTGAGTTAACACCAGTGGCAATTTGGAGAGCTGTAAGAAGATCCATGTGCGGGGTCAGATTGCATGAGAAGATTAATGCATATTCTGTTGTAATCAAAGAACCAGCAAGAGCTACCCTCTGTCCAGGAGAAAATCTAATTAGCAGCCAACCTTTCCTTTAGTTTGCAAAAACACACACACATCAGAAAGGCAAAGCCCTCAATTGACAAGCAAGAGCTCAGAGTACTTTTCGTTTTCCGCCTGGTGAAGTATTTAGTGTAACTTGGAAAGGTGCATTTTAAAGCTCCAACAGTACCTCTCGATTCACTGATCCTGACTCTGAGACTGTCAGAATCTGACTTTCTCACTGTGGGCAGAATTCTGCAGGCTTTATTTTAACTCAGATATGTCTGCTGCCCAAATCGGTCTTAATCTCAAACATGGGAATGCGCCTTGAATGAGGTCAGCTCTTCTTAATGAATTTAGCACTATAAAAAGGAGAGAAGCGGGCACCCTCCTCCTCCCCCACCAGCCCATTGTCTGTGCTTGTTAATTACGGTCACAGATGAATAGAAAGGCAGGGTTGTAGGAGCTCTTCCATGACTTGCTTTCAAACAAGCTGAATCCGTAAATCAATGAAACCGAAAAGTATGCTTATAAATCAATCAGACGGCCTTGGGAATTGATTTCACTGAATAAGGGCCTTGTCTAGGCTTCTTTCTGTTTGATTTTAGTTTAGTTAGGCTCTGTAGTAGATTGCTTTCTGTGGTTTGTATATTTCAATTCTGGCCCTTTCTTTAAGAGAAAGAAAAGCATTTCAAGGAAACAAGTGGTCGGGTTAATTACTAGCCATCTGCCCAACAGTGCAGGTATTTTTTCCACACTAGAGCAAGCAGTCTCAGATTAATGGTCCTGCACACTCCAAACACATCGAGATGGTTTCGGTCTGCCTTCCTGGGATCAAGATAAGATTTTTAAAAGCAAATTCATGATCAGTGTTGAAAAGGACCCACCCTGCCCCTCCCCTCTTATTTAATCTCAAGAATAATGTGGCCATATAAACTAATAATTAGACACTAAGACAATACGGATGGAGCCATTTGATTGATTCTGCTGGTACCATGAGATTAGCAGGGGGGAATGAAATGCATTCATAACTTTTTAGAGAGTCATTCAAACCTTCTCCTGCTTAGCTTTAGGATGCATCATAAGAAAATGAATATAATATATTCCCTGAAATCTTCCTGGAATTACTATATATAGAGTGTATTCAGGTATGCAACTGGGAAGTTCCTTTGTCCAGCTTTCATAGACCAAGCAGCAGTGGCTGCAAAGAAGATGAAGCTTGACGAAGGTTGAATATTAAGGGGTGAAGAGGAACTCCTTGCCTCAGTGGCCACAATGCAGCACACAATTAGGTGTGCATTGATTTTGGTGCACTTAAACTCGCGCTGATCTGGTTCTGATTCTGTTTTCAACCACCTTCCCAATAGTCTGTTACTCAAGGCAACCCACAGGATGTACAGGATGTGCAAGACTAAAACTACGGGATGTGAAACTAGTCCAAGAGTGCAATCCTGCACCCACGTAACCTAGAAGTAGGTTCCATTGAACTTGGTGAGATTTGCTTCTGAATATTGTACAGCAGATACAATAGAGCAAAAGTGGCTTCAAAACAATCCCACAGAAGTGCTTATTCAAATATTAGCATGGATCAAGCACTGTTTACAACAACCCTTTAAAGTAGGACAGTCATATTATCAGCTGCACTTTGCTCCAGGGCAGAGGCGTATGTAGACACTGAGAGAAAGTGGACCAACAACATTTAAATATGTTCATGAGATTTAAACTCTTTTAGGCAATGGGTTTTTATTATTATTTCATTTGTGGAGGGTTCTTTGTTTATGGTGGCCTTTAAAGTGTGGTGTCATGGGGAGATCTCGGTTTGCAGTGAAACCAAAAGTACATGAAGTGGATTAACTGCCTTGTATAAAAAGCCCAATACCCCATTTTCCCTGGTTTAAAACAAGAAACTCTCAGAAAGTGATGTTTGGATGCCGAAGTGAACTGGAGGGTCACAACATGAGAACACTAGAAGAGTCCTGCTGAATCAGACCATCCGTCCTTCTCAAACAGGGTTCTGCTCACACGGTGGCCAACCAGCTTCCCACAGGAATCCTGCAAGCCATGAGCACATCAGCACACTCTAACCCATCTTCCCCAGCAACTGAGGCATGTAGGCTCAATTCT